ACCAGGTAGATGGGGGGAGGGGGTAGACATAGACACTATAGATACTATTAGATAGATGGATGGATGGATGGATAGATGGATATAGATACTATTTACATTTGATAAAAAATGTTTGCAGTGTTGTTCCATTCAGCCATGCAAACCACATTTCTACCTTCAAGGAATTCTTTATATCATGATTTGACATGGGTTTGAAATAGTGCAGCATAACAGTCAGAAAATGGGCTGAAAATATGGGCGATGCAGCTACTGCCTCGATCCAGGTGCTGATGATGCAAGATTTTTTTTTTGCAGCACTAGCATGTGCTACTGGACATGTGTTTGTCAATTTGATGTTCAGCCCAATGGAATCAGGTGAATGATAGCAAATACTCCGCACCATTTTGATTCATCAGCGTACACTGCACCAAAACAAGCTTAGCGTCTACTACGCCTCTAATGAGTCTCTGCACAAACAGATGTACCCATAGGACATTTGCTGAGTCTTAATTAGAATCCTCTGACAAATCAGACACCAAGGCGGTCTGGCTACTTTGTAAACCCGTGCAAACACAGTGAATTACACTACAGGGTAAAGCAAGACGTCCCAAATGTTTACGCACATGTCCCAGTTACCCCTTTTGTTGATCAAAATAACACCATCCCCTATGGGAAAAAACCCGCAGACCATCATAAAACAAATTTGCAGCAATGCTCAGATGTGCAGAAACGCCCTTTGATAGATTGCCCAAATCCATCTCTTAAATCTAAATACAGTGGTTTCCATGGCGACCGTGTCTTTGACTTTACTAGATGGTGATGCAGGTACCCCATTCATCTCTTGGCCTTCCTTTTGGTCTATATGTGTGTGACGCTCTCTTGATTTCTATCAGTTCTCACAGGTATCTGAGGTCTGTGTCAGCAGGGACTATATTTCATTGCAAACCACTGACTGAGCTTCTCTGCAAGTTATGGTAAATCAAACACTTTATTTGCATACCTATAAAAGACACTGATGAAAAAATGAAAACAGTGTGCAGTTTTGTGATGTCACAATGAAATACATACAGATCTGTGCATAGAACAGTTACAGAGGTAATACGAGCCAGGATAAAAATATCCGGTGATTCAACATTTGGTGGACACCGTCCAAAACACATCAACTAAGCATATTTGCTGAGTTTTTCAATGCAGTAGCAGAAACTGGATTCCCAACAAGATGTAGGGGAGACCGTGAGCAATTTAACAAACTAAATGTTCTCAATGATGTGGGATGACACTTATTCAGAATATGCTCAGTAAAGTTCTCTCTCTGAGAAAAAAGTGTTTTACATACACTGTAAAACTGAACAATGAAATTAGTTAATTTCACTTAAACATAACAGAAAGTTCACTGTACTTACTAGAAAAAGTTACATGAACTAAATAATTGTTTATATTAAGCTGAACTTAAACTAAATGAGTTGCAGCAAATTTCTAATTCCCAGAATGCTTTGTGTCAGGAGAATCAATTTTAAAATTAAACGTTATTTTGTGTGTTTTTGCACAACATTATATATATATATATATTGTCTGGTACGTACACACACACACACACACACACACACACACACATGTTAGTTTTTATGGTTTACGGGGACTCTCCATAGGCGTAATGGTTTTTATACTGTACAAACTCTGTATTTTCTATCGCTCTAAACCAACCCTACACCTAAATCTACCCCTTACTGAAAACTTTGTGCATTTTTAGATAAAAAAAAAAAAAAACACCATTTAGTATGTTTTTTTAAGCCTTTTGAATTATGGGGGACACCGAAAGTGTCCTCATAAATCACCTTCACATTGTAATACCTATGTCATACCCATGCCATTATATAAAATTGTGTCCTCCTCATAAACCACATAAACGTGCATACACTCTCATATTAGTTTCCATTTTTTGTGGAGACGTGGTCCTCATAATGTAGGGAATACCAGGTACACACACACTTTTTGTATTAAATTCAATTGCTATATTATCTAGTTTTTATTTTTCCATTAGAAGTCTGTTAATGGCACTGTAAGTTTTGTTATTTTCATATATTTAGCCAACATTCTGTATACTAGAAGAGACGTTAGTGGTCTGTGAATTATAAAGGAAAATGTTACAATTGTCCCAGGTTTACCATACTTATTGTGGTATGTATTAATCAGTAGGTGCAAAATCATGCTAAATAAATAAAGAACCATGATAAAGCCAAGTTGTATAAGTTGTTCTGATGCCTCTGATTTGTGTCATAAATTCATAAGCTCATAAAGAGGATTGTGGACACTAATAGGCTGCAACTCAAAAACATAGAAAAGAAACAGCATTCTTAAAAAATAATAAAGTTTTTCCTCCTGTCTTCTGTAACAATTCAGCACAGAGGCACCATTGAACTTAATATTCAATGAATAAAATAATTTAAACAATACCTGCTGTCAGTGCCACTGTAAATGCATTACATTTTTCATTTGAAAATAATTTGGAGAAAAAATAAACATACCATGAATGTATATTGAACACATGCATTATAACACTGCAGTGATGTGCAATTAATATCTTGTCAGGAAAAACAAAGATATTCTAAGTAACGCATTAAAAATCTCAGTCTGAAACAATGCAGACGAATAAAGATTCAGAACAAGGAATTCATGTCAAGGTCAATATATACATTAGAACAAATAGTCTAAAGATACATAACAAACTGCCTTTCAAGGTCCACAAAGGCCTATTCTTCATTATGCAAATACATAAACTAAAGTTAGCCTAATTTAATGAGAGGATCAAAGAAACCAAGACCGAGACTGTCTCCAAGGAAGATGCTCTTCAGTCTCATCAAGCATGATTAGACAAAACTCTGAGACAGCGCTGTCGTCACACACGGATTAATTAACCGCACATAGATAAATCCTGGGGATTTGTGACAGAGAACATAACATAAAGTCTAGACTCTGTAAGCTATTATCTGTTATGGTCCACAAGTTCATTGATCTACTGATGTTAAGGTTTAGTGGTTTCTAAGCATTAAACTAACCTTTTTATTTATTTTTTATTTTTTTGGCTTGGCCCTACAAGAGAAATGGCTCGTAAATGCAGCAAAACATTTAAGCTCTATATCAAGTGCCATGACAAGCAAAAGAATATAGCATGGATACCTCTTAAATATTTTCTTAGCAGGACTTATTTTCACTAATGCACTGACACAATTTTAAGTCTAAATAAATTTGCAGATTACATTTAAAAATAAGCATTTTAAATGATTCATGATTTACTTTAAGTGAGTTAAATGACTGCAGAGGTAATCTAAAATTTTAATCATGAGAACTGAGTGTGAAAAGTCAAATACAGACATTTCAAACAATACCGATGATCATAATCAATATGGTAGCAATATATTGTGCATCATTAGGTTTTTATATCCTCTCTCACCCAGACTCTTCACCCTAAAACCTGCTTCAGCCTGCAGTTACAGAAAGAAAAGCCAGGATTCCCATAGCTCTCCATAAGACTCTACAAATCATTCATCTTGTCTCAAATCAATAATAACCTGAGATGCTAAAATAACTTGCAAACATTGACTCTTTTTTTGTGCAGTCATGTTTTGCAGCAAAACTATTTCTTGCACCTGAAAAATATAACTCTTCACAAAAACACATTTTGTTATGCGTATATTGGGTGGGAAATACACCCTCGTACCCTCGTACCAAAAACGATATGTAAATAATCTCGGAAAATTACATAATCTACATTTAACATTAATCAATCCGATGACATTGGACAGATATTTCTCACGTTCCAGGAAAATCCCAAGAGAACTTTGCCATAAAATTTCCATAACTACAAAGCAGCCAAGATCCTGAGGAAAGGGGGATTTGGGAAAACAAAAATCCATTGTTACAACTCGAACAAGACATGTAAAATCTAAACCTAAGGCGTGTTCTTTGTACTCTCTTTTTCGACAGCACAAATCTACTAAACCCATCAAACAGTCTGCACATTTTAGTACTCCAGGGATTCATTTCCTAAAGCAGAAACAGTAAAAAATTAGGGAGCATATGAGAAGCTCAGAAGCTTTATGGATCCGTCTGTGTGATGCTCATGGGCATTTTCCCACTCATTTTCAAAGCATCATTTTAAAGCAGCACAATGCTGAATAAAAGAGTGCCGCGTGCACCAAACGTGATAACGACAGAGTAGTCTGAAATAAATAACCAGCTACCTGAAATTAAAAAAAAAAACAGTTTTTAGCTTACATCACAACATTCTTCTAAAATAAATCACTGTTACTGACAAAAATGTGATGTGGGATATTGTTTAACATTATATTGATGAATCAAACCAGTCAGTTCTGAATCTCTATAATCAAACTATCAGCAGGAATCAAACATAAGCACTCAGCGCCAAATATGCTACTTGTCTAATTTTTACGGCACATTTAAAGACTTCAGCTGTTATCTGTGAATAAAAGCGATCAACACAACAAATACAAGAGCTACAAAGTCGAAGCCCCACAGGAAGATCAATCAACCAACAGACAATAACATGATGCAAAACTGACCATGTTGCTAGATAAAATGGTTTTATGTCTCTCTCTGTTGGTACTCAGAAGCTAAAATGTCCTAACAGATGCGTGAGAGGCCAGCTGGTAAAAACAAGAATAATTTCCTGATTACGAAATGAGGCAGAATAATGTTTGAACAGCTAGAAACAGATGTGGCATGCCTCTTACTCTGAAAGAGCCAGGAGTCTTTTCAGCTAGGACAGAAATATAAGGTGTAAATAACAGCAGATCTGCAGTGCAGCACAAATCAGAGTCTGACACCATCTAGTTTGCTCCTGCCAGATACAGAACTTATTAAGTCATTACCCACGAGCACAGCAATCCCATAAAACTGATGGATTGCTTTTGATCCTCTCTGATCTCCACATGACTATAACATTGATTTGACCGGCACGTCATCACTCCTTTAGTATGTTGCATGGAGCACTGAGGTCTTACCTTAGGATACTGCTGCACCGGGATCAGCACGCGCTCCGACAGTTTGATGTTTTTGTTGCTGATGATATCCAAGTATTTCTTCACCTCGCCATCTTTTCTCAAATCGTCTCCTTCGAACTTTTCAATCTCTGAATGAAAGAAAGAAAAAATCACTCTGGTCAAATAATGTCACGATTTCCAGCCCAGAATATGAGTACAAACTCTTTTCAGCTTCTTGTGGCACGTTTATTAACAACAATTAAATAAATACTCTGCGTAGAACGTAACTTGTCGGCGTAAGCCTGCTAAGCCCTTATTCGCATGACAAACACAAATTGAAAAGCTACTGCGTAAAACTGTAATATTTTGTGCTTGAGGAATTTTATGGTGCTTTTGAGAATTGAGCCGGAGACTTAGCCACACAACATTAAAGAGGCTTGAAATGAAGCTGTCACCTGGGTTCCTCCAGGGATCCCCTTCTGTCGCTGCTAAATTAATGCTCAGCAGAATTGAGAATTATGAACCTGTGCAAGTCGTGTAAAACACGGAGCGGGGAAAGAAGGGAAGGGAAGTCAGCAGGTGAAGGGAGACCATTATTTTTCACCTCAACTCTGGTGAGTCTCTCAGCTGCTTAGACCTGCAGAAAACCACAGTGTCTCACTTTCACTTCTACACTGAATGTAGTTGGGAGGAGCAGCTCGGATTTCATCCCAATGTGTTTTCAAGTTTTAAGTCCTGTAGACCCAAAGCGTGTTTGTTTTAATGATAGCTTAGTGTGGTGGTCTTTGTGAATACAACACAGCTTGTCTGCTGCAGTTATATGGCCCCTTATGTATTTAAAATGAAACTTTCTCTCTGTATAGTTCTTCTGTAATGATCACCTCTGTTTTTCTAAATAAACCACTTCTTGTTTATTATCAATGCTTTGCAATAAACAGCTAGAAAGCAATTATTTGCTGGTTATAATATAATCAGCTGGAATTAAGTGCAACAACAGAGGATAAAATAACAGAAAAAAAAGAATAAATAATGAAAGTTATTTTTGCAGTTATTTTGAACCAGCTGGTCTCAAGTTGATTTTTAGAGGATATATGAAGTCAGTTCCCCTCAAGTTCACAAAGGTGTCCTATCAGAGAAACCACAGGTGTAGTTCAGCACATTAAGGATGAACATGTCTCACCAATTTTTGAAAACCAGAAGGTAGGCCTACTTGGTACCTTTAAAAAAACCTTTTCCTTACTTTTGAACAGTATTATCGCTTTAAACCAGTAGTTCTTTGCTAAAAACAATAGAAAGAAAATAAGATCTCAGTTTACATCTTGATTTTATGTTTATATTTAGCCTTTTAATTCGGATTTTAATATTTTTAAAAATTATTAATTTAAATACTTCAGGTCCCCTTGGAAGCTTGCTGAGGCCCCCTAGTGGGCCCCGGCCCCCTAAGTGAGAACCACTGCTTTAAAGCTAACACACCTATTTTTGCTTAAAAAGCTTTGAAGCACTAACAGCCCTATGGTTGTGAGCTCAGATGCCGGCTGAGACGATGCATGAACTGGAGAGTTACAGAGGTCTTGCTTCATCGTGTGCCCTTCAGCATGACACTTACTCTCAGGTGGCTGCAAGCGACTAATGGCAAAGCATCTGCAAAATGACAACAGCACGAAAAGGTGAAATTTCTATCAAAAAAGCAAACAATGACATGGTCTATGTAAAAGTCACCTGATCGTGATGATCGATTTTTTTTTTTTCCTTTTTTGTACTGGGGATGCTGTTCTTCCTGTCGCCTTATCCTTTCCTCTGAAAGGTATGAAAGAAATCAAACCAGGCTGAAAATGAGAAGGAGACCTAACAATAAGGCATACTAAAATTTATTTTACGGCCACACACAGCCTGAATTAATATTTATTTTTGCATGAAACTGTAACATAGGAATTAGGAAAGTATAATCACTTTGTCCTCTTGCTTATGAATATATGTAAGTTCATTTTAAATATAAAAGTACTTCTGCAGACTCAGTAGCTGCACTGTAATCCACTGGGAACAGACTTGTGCTCTGTGCATGTCTAATGCTATTTTATTTGCACAGAAAAGATTTGATCAGACAAAATTCAAAGCTGCCATTATTCCTTTGACTTTTTGCAACATACAAACTGAACAAAAACAAATTTAACATGAAAAAAACAACTAAAAAACAGGAGCGCTGTAAAACCTCTGTGTCTTCGGATTTCATTGATTTTGTATGCCCCTAAACACAATGAAAGCCATCTCTTAAGTATGCCATGCATGCCTGACAACGCTAACTAACAAAAGTCTCTGTGTGCTATTTAGGAGCTGCTGATCTGAACTTACTGAATGAGTAAAAGACCAAAAAGTCCATAAATGGGCTTTTAGTTGATATATATAACAATTTCAAGGGTGAGTGGCTCTGTGGAATGAGTATGGCAGCATAATAGGGAAGATCCAGGCTTAAATTCTGGCTTGGCCTTTGCATAAAACACTTCAGCTCAGCTTGTTTAAGGAGTGCCCTATACGGTTACCAATGCATAAACAATTGATTGGTCATTCAAAGGTAAAAATATATATTCAAGCATTTAAATTTGAAGCATTTAAGAAAAAAATCTCTAACTGATCTACCAAAAAGCATTCAAATCTGAACATTTTTCATCTTGGCATTATAATAAGTAGAAAAGCGTGCACATCACAGAATGTCAAATATATTCATCTAAAGGCTCTGTGAAGTTTCTCTACAGTTGTAGTTCACAAGAAGATTCTAGATTGAATTCTATGATCCTTGTTCAGCATGAACCAATTGGGTACAATTTAAGGGATGCTGGATCTGTCCAAATAATAATGTTCACAATGACAAAAGAAAATCTGAAAAGACCTTTGGGCCTAATCTGAGACTGATCAAGCAGGTGGATATGGCTTTTAATAATATTATTTGGAGTGTCACGGTATTGTTCCTTGATATACAATACATTTTACACCACTTGATCCACCTTTTCTAACAATCCTTTAAAAAGACATAACCGTACGGAACTTTGAAGACTCACAGGCTCTCTGAAGATAGCATCCTGCTGGCTGGAAAATGAAACTTTCAGCTGAAAATTACATTCACATTGTAAAACACATCAATCTGACCTCTTGATCAGGATCTATGGAACTCAGAAATTCAAAATCTCTCACATTAGAATAATACGGCTATGAAAAAGAAAGGTAAATCACCCTTTTGTTCTAGTAAAATACATTTTCAACCCAAAATCATTTGAAAGTTATCTGTTACAATTCAATTTTTTTTGTCACCCTCATTTTGTGCTCACTATTTCTTTGTAATCTGTAACATAATCTTTTTGGTTTGCACTCTCCTGACACACTCATACACACATATAAGGTTACAAAGGTGTAGGTTTAAAAATGATTGAATACAGATAAAGGTGATGACTCAGTCACAGGATATGGAGGAGGCAACTGGCACAAGTGAGAGATGAAAATTAGTTTGAGCTAATTGTGCATTGCTCAAACCAGTCTTGTGTTTCTGCCTCAGCAATATTACGAACCATGGGTAATAATCACAGTACCCTTCCTATTCAAAAAAGTCAACTCTGCAGGAATCGTAGCTTTGTAATCCACCAGAACACAAATTAACAGAGAACTGAGGCAATCTCAGCTGCCAAGGCCCTCTGTGATTGTACTTTCCTATTTTATAACATATATCCCACTTTGAGGATATTCTTGATCTATTATAAAACCCAATTTGGACACTTTCAATCCAAAGAACACAGACAAAGGATTTAATACAAACTTTTTCGGCAGCACTTATGCTACATCAGCTTGTGAATTGTTGCCCTGCGGTCCCCGAGGGAAATTTTTTTCAATCTGCTTTACAACCTTTTTGTCTACTACTCATACTACTTCAGCGAGCAATGACCACCTTTATCAATTTTAGATGAAGGTTTATATTCTGGTTAAATTTTTATTATAATTCTTGCTTAGATTTATAGAAATCAGAGATTCTGTTTAATGTGGTTAAGAAATCAAGTTTGCATGGCACTTAAAGGGGTTATTCAATGCAGGAAATATATGTATATTTAACCAAACTTGGCTGTCTATTTAGTAGAAAGGCATTTTTTATATAATAGGTGCTTTAATTGGTGCTATGTGACTAGAGAAAATGGACAAAATGGGTTACAGTGTTCCCTTTTGCCAAAGTTTGCATCATCCTGCAGACTTTAGCTGACAAATAAACTGGGAGATCTGGGTACAGGTAACATAAAGAGTGCACATTGTTCATTTACATATAAACGGTCAAAATATGATCCAATTCTGATTAATATCAACATTCTTGTGCCTGTAAATGCAGTCAATGAGAAATTGAGTGCAAAACACACACACACACACTATCCACTAAACACATCATATTCAAAGAGTGATATTGCTATTTTTTAATGAAACAAATGCACACCTGCCTGTAATATTTTGACATTTAAAATGTTATACTACGATATGTTTGAATGTGTCACTTTACAACACCATGATTTTACAATAGGCTTCATAATATTTGTTTCAGATGAGTTTGAGAAACTCATTTCAGTTTCTGAATATTAATATATTTCCATCTTCTGCCTATCTCAACAAATATTACTCAAGTCATTACTATTAGAAACCTCTTCTCTTTTCATTTCCTTCCCCATCATACATCGCCTTTCATTGTGCATCACCCAAATTTACATTACTTAATTAACCTTAGTGGCCCGGCGGGAATGTAGATATTTTTTATAGCTTAGTCAGAGGTGATATTTGCGCACTGTGCATCTTAAGACACTGAACCATTAATACAGTAATCTTCTACACTAAAAATGTATGACCCTCAAAAAGATGCTTCAAACTCAAATACACTGACATTACCGCTGACATAAAGAATTCATTATGGATATGTTTCCATAATTCATATCCCTTCAACAAATGTGTTGTAATGGTTGAACAACAATTGAGGGTGAATGAAAATGATATTTCCTGGATATTTCTTAGGGGGGAGGAAAAGACACTCAGCTCTAATGTTTAACCTCCACAGTAAAGAACATCTTGTCTTGCTTCCTAATTACAATGAAAGTGAGCCTGGCGTGTGCTGCATCACTCCTCTCTGAACTTC